TAGGGAAAAATTAATTACTGATTTTTGTACTGATTATTTACTGATTAAAACCATCATCGGCTATTTGGGGGTTCTGTCTTTGGATATCTGCCTTACAACCTAAGTTAACTTCAAGTTAATAAAAGATTTTAAAATATAACTTCATTACATATTTTAATATCCAAATATTTAGTATTAAAAAGTCATTGTCCCCCTTTGGGATTGTTAGTACAAAAGTTTATATATTTCATAAATGTTTGTTTATTTTCCTTTCTGTTTCCACTAAATGTATTCTTCTTTTTCTCTCTCCCTCTTAATTTTAAGGGCTTCATCTTTGGCTTGTCAGATGGGCATTAAGTGAAGTTGACTGTTAACTGCAAACATTTCAGAGGCACTGTAGCAGCTGGGATGTTGCGACAGAACGGTGGAAGTAACAAGCGTGGTTTGGGATTAGCCCGACTATCTACCTCCAGCTTCTTCACCATCTCTAATTCAGGAAACTGGGGAATGGGGCGCAGCACCAAGAGCAGTTCTTTGAGCAGCATTAGCTCCAACTCGGACTGCTATGACAGTCCTATTGTGGATCCAGAGTACATCATGCAACTGGTGAATGATGTGAGAAAATTTGCAGATGTGCTACTTTATTTGAGAGAGGCCATTCTATCAGAAGGTACGTAAGATACTTTTTCTTCATTTCCTAATGAAGAAATTCTTAAAAAAACCCCAAACCTGTGCTCATAGGAGCTGTAGTCACTTTATTGTGATTTTTTGTTTTGTTTTGTTGTGTTCTCTTCTTCCCCCACCCCCCTCCCGGCCAAGCACTTTCATGATGCTTACAGGAAATGGTGGCTGTTACTTTGGGTGCTATGTTTTCTCAACAGAACACAGTGCAATCTGTTTCATAATCAGACATAAAATCTAGAGCTGCTAGAATTGGTAAGACTTGAGTAAAGAGAGGAGGAGGGGCAGGGGAAGTCTGTTTCCCATCAGACTGACTGAACTGACATTGGAAAAGTAGTGAGACTGTTTAGATCAGCCCATTAGAGTTTTTAAACTACTGACTGCTTTTGTAATTCCAGAGTATGCTGTTGGTGATTTGGCTGAGATCCAGTCACAATTGTAATAACATGGGAGGCTGTTCAACAGTCTGTTATTTTAATCACTTGAATTTACTTTTCAATTTCTGTTTTGCTTTTGTTTGTTTTTAATAGATTTTAACTCTTAGAAATACTACCTCTTTACAGCTCAAGGTACTTAAATGCTACTTTTTGTCAACAGGTGGAAACTGTAAAGGTTTTTTGCTTAGCCTTAGATCCAGCCTCAAGAATGGGTTGGCAATGTCTTTGACGCAGAAAGGCAG